ATTACAAAGACAGTCACATGGTTTGAGTAAATTATTTGGGAAATAGGCAAGCAAGCTTTTGAGAGGGGCGGTTACAGAGCAATAAATTTTGGCTTCACCCAGCACCCAGTCCTGTTGGTGGTAGAACATTCACAAATCTTAGCACCAATAAGATCCAAGAACGACAGGCTGATCAGTAAATTAGCAGCCCAGTTAAAGCTGTTACAGAAGGCAAAGGCTCTTCCTCTTATTCCAGCAGGGTAGATTTCACTGAGGACCAGCCAGGTCACTGCAGAGATTACAAAGACAGTCACATGGTTTGAGCAAATTGTTTGGGAAATAGTCAAGCAAGCTTTTGAGAGGGGCAGTTACAGAGCAAAAAATTTTGGCTTCACCCAGTGCTGTTGGTGGTAGAACATTCACAGATCTTAGCACCAGGTTACAGCTAAGCACTTTAAAACTTCTACTTGCAGCACTCTGGGGAGGAAAGATATAAAAATGCAGAGATACAGGTTCAGTGAGCAAACAGTAATGCAGGGAAGCTGGTGTCTGGGCAATGATCTGAGAAATCAAACTTGTTTTCGGGATGTGCATTTTGTAAGGAAGTGAGAAAGAGGCAGCAAAAGGGAGACAATGCTGCATTTGGGCTAAAAGCAGAGCTGAAAGCAATGTATATGAGAGACCCTCCTATCCTAGGGTTATTTTGCTTGAAATAATGTACAAGGTTACTGTCAAATTCGCAAGACTTGCTGTGCACTTAAGGTCTTCCCCAAGTTCTTTCTATTCATTTTTGCTTTATTTCTCCTCGCAGAACATTTAAGACAATCAATGCCCCAAAATGCTAGAAGTCACAAGGAACTAAGAACTAGTTTGTATTCTCATCCAATGAATGAACAATAATTTCAAACAAACTGGTAGTGAGAAACCTTCAAGAAGGAACAAGATTAGGAAGCGCTTGTGGAATACTCTGATTTTGCAGTGAGTGTGACAGGAAAAAGTCATTGCTAGGGTAGTGATCGTGTGGAAGGGAAGGTTGCCCTATGCCACACCAAACTCATAGCTGACAGAGCCGAACTCCTAGAAAATCATTCAGTAGGCAAAGGACTGTTTTTTTGTTTTGTTTGTTTGTTTGTTTTTTAGTTTCTGGATGCCCAGCTGCTCAGTAAAGAGATGTGCAATGGCCATTTTTCTAGAGGGCTATAAGTATCAACCTCAGTGTTATTCTCTGGGTTAATGTGAAGATAAGAGCAGTACTTACTTGGTCCAAATCCAATGGAGAAGGCGCTCACAAAAGCCATCATGCTCAACAGCGTAATCCAATTTAAAACCATATGTTCTGTAGAGGGGACTCCGCTGTCGGGAGACCTTGTGCCTTCCACCATCTCTTTTTCAGACTGACCTACCAAGTCCACTTTATGAAGGTGGGAAGAGTCCGTAACAACACCTCTGCTTTGGGCAGCCCTTGCAGCAGCAAAACCAGGGCCTGCCTGGCTTCTGCCAGCCCCTGATGCGAGTGCGAAGGGTGACACAGGGATCTGGGAGGACACTGGTGCCAGGAGATGTTGTGTGTAGCTGTGGGAGGCATTGGGGTCTGTGGCTGCCTCACAGTCCCTGGCCACGGCCAGAGGAGCAGAGCGGCTCGTGAGGCCAATGGTGGTGACCGAAATGGCCATCACAACACAGCCAGCAATGAGCAACGCTCTCCTCCCAGCCTTGTCTGCAAACGCCATTGCAACGAGTGTGGCAACCACCTTGATCGCCCCCAGGCCCACGGAGGCCAGGATTGCAGAAGAGTTGCTCTGGAATCCCACCGAGTGGAAGATTTTGGAAGCGTAGCCCAGGACATTTGGCTGCCCAGTGAATTGCTGGAAGAGCACCAGGCCCAGGCCTACCAGAGTCCGGCTTCTCATGTTGTCTCTGGTCCTGAAAAGGTCAAGAAAAGAGTAATGCTTCTCCTTATATGGCTCCCGCTTTGCTGCCTCTCTGTCTTCCGTGGTCTGCAGTTGAATGAGACCCTTCTGGGAGTCTGAGTCCCAAGAATTTAACTTAACGGGGTTCACTGGGAGAAAAAGGATGCTCAGGAACTGCATGGCAGTTGGGGCAATGGCGAGTCCAAACATGTACCTCCATCCCTCAACCACATCTGCAAAGATGTAATTCAGAGCATATGAGAGTAAGATGCCTACAGTGATGCCTGCTTCATAGAGAGACACCAGCAGTCCTCGTTGATGAGCAGCCACCATTTCTGAGACGTAGATGCAGCAGGCCATGGATGAGATAGAGATTGCAAAGCCGACGGTCATGCGCCCAATGACCAGCCCAATAAAAGTCCTTGCCAATGTCAGAATAAGGCTGCCAAACAACAGTACCACATTGCTGACCAGGATTGCTCTCCTCCTGCCGTGGCGGTCAATGAGGATCCCCCCAACCAGAGAGGCAAGTAGAGCTCCAATGAGTAGGGAGCTCACAAGAACTTCCTGCTTGAAGCAGCTGAGGTGAAAGTCTATTTGCAGCTGCAGCAGTGCACCAGAGATGATCCCAAACTCATATCCAAATATCAACCCGCCCAGGAGAGAGACTGTTGCAGACAAGAGGAGGACCAGCAGTGCACGACCTGGAAAAGAAGCAATCAGTGCTAAGTTCAGTGTTCTGGCTCTTGCAGGAATGATATCAAGCATTCACAAACCAGAAAAGAAGCTATTCTGGCATATCACACAGTGAAACCACCCCAGTATCTTGCCATGATATGTGGGGAGGCACTGTAGGCATGCATACAACTTCACAGTTCTACATTCACCAACCTTCTTGGGAGAACAGATGCGTCTGAGCTTAACATTTAGTGCTGTGAAGCATTTACCACAGAAATACTAAACAACCTTATGTTCCACTGATGCGTGGCTCTGTGCTTAGGGCTTACTAAACCAGAATTTTTTTATTTCCTTCCATTTCGTGATCTGAATGTTGGCATAGAGAGAAATGACTGGCCAACTCCATGAAAATAAGGGTTGCTATATTTTATATAGCCTTTCTTTCCTTTCCTTTTTCTGCTGAAATATAAATAGTAATAACCAAGGCAGTGGTATTTCCTTTTCGATATGTCTTCACGAGATGATGGTATCCTACTGGTAGGGCTCTATTTGTGATGTGACTATGTGACCAGATAAATGACTGCAATGTGTGGACTTCTCCTCAACTGCAGCCCAGATGCAACTCTATAACCTAAGCTCTTGCTCAAAACAAGCTCTTCTGATCTCAGGACAGCGGGTTAAGGAGTGTGAATACAAGAGCCTACAGTGAGAGCTGATAGATGCCACATGCATTTCAACCTCAGATGGAAATCTACGGAAACTTAAAATAATGGCATTAACTATTTCACTGATTAATATTTTGCTGGGAGGTTGAGGGCAGGTCCTCACAGCTGGATGCAGAACAAACCTGGTGGGAGATAGCAGGGGTCCATTACTCGTTGTCAGAATTTGCCAGGGTGTGGATGGGGATTTTAACCAGTTTTCTCTTTGAGCAGCAGGGAGAGCAAAGAGAAAGTTTTCTGCCCCCAGGACGACATCCCTCAATTCCTAGGGTGCCCCATAAGGCTACTGGCTGCTGGGTCTGCCTTGGATATTTGCAGAGTGATTTGGACAGCTTTGCTAGAGACACTACAGAAAGGAAAAATAGTCTGGGAAAAATCTGACTTGCAGAAAATAAGGATGAATGAGTAGTGTAGTTAAAAATGCTGACTGCAAAAGGTTATTTCTGCTGGTTTTTCTTACACTTTCACTGTTTGTGGGAATGACCCTGATTTCTTCCTCCCTCTGTAACACTCAGCACCTAGGGCACCCAAGCCAGGCACAACTTTCTTGAGGCACCATTGCTACGGGACGAACTTCACCACGAGCCGAAAACCTCACTGTTGCCTGCCACAAGTACTAGCAGCATTTCTTTGACCTTGTGCTGCCCGTAGAGCCGAGTATGTAACTTCAGTAAGTATGTCAGTTTAGATAAAATAAGAAACAACAGCAAAAGCAAAGCAAGCCAACCAATCCACCCCAAGCAAGACTGCAAAAACAAGGTGCTTGATGCACGTGCTCCTCACCCTGGGGAGAGGATGAAAGGGGAACCTTGGTGAGCAATGTGTTAGTCATGCAGCTCAGCAGGCTGCTAGGAGATGCTCACTGCAGGTGGGAGCAAACCAAGCACCAGAAGCCCCACAGCCAAGAGGGACTGGAAACCCTGGAGGCAGTAACAGTGACCTCCTGCCCCCATTGAAATTTTGGAGGTAAAATGCATTAGCTTAGATGCTTGTACTGTAGAATGCTGGATTATAGCATGTGATGGTATTGGCATTCTCACATGAGTTTTGTTTAATTAGAAATACTCACAATTTCAGTGCACTGTATATGGAAAGAATGCAGACACAACTACCAGAGACGGAAAATTTTCTTCAGTCAAGGATGAGAGCTTTTTTCCTCAAAAGCTGTGTTTAAAAGAAGTGTCTCCATTCAGCATTTAATTGTAGCTAGCAGTAAAGGTAATAACCCAGTGATGGCTGCATTTATATTTGTATTTGATCTGCAACTCTGTGTTTTGGTTGTTACTTGTGCCATCCAGGCATCCCGCCCATGCTCTGTGTGGCTGCCTGCTCTGCTCTTATCGCTTTTTGTACACATGTTAGGAAGATAGTTAGAAACAATATTTGCCTGGTGAAAATAAAAGGCTTTGCATAAAGTGGGCAGGCTGCTACTTTCGAGTCACAAACTCAGTTAGATGTATCTGCTGAAAATACCAAAGCTGGTTGGTTGGATTTTGATACATTTTCTGCTAACTTAATGGGCACTAGTGATTCATGAACTTTGATTAAAAACCAGCTTTGTACAGGGCTAATTCTGATGCTGTCAGGAAATCCAGGGATTTTTTCAGACCTTTGCATGAGGACAGAAAGTTTGGAGGGTCTCCAAGGAAGTTGGACAGGGATTTTGCCCATGCCAAAATCTGTCCACAGGGCGCAGTAACAGCTGCCACTGACCTGGCTTGCAACCGGGCCAGCTTCTGAGCTGCCAAGGACTTGATGTGCGAACACCATCTCCTTCAGCACAAGGTGTGGCTCCTGGTCCTCTCGGTCTCCTGTTCTCCTGCCTGCAGCCCTCTCTCTTTCCCCTTAATGCTGCTGGAGTCGCCTCTAGGGCTCTGTCACAGGAAATTACTTGTCTCCTAACGCTTGCTGCTGGAAGTGCTAGGGAAAAAGAGCGAGAGAAGGAAAGAGGGCGCGAGCAAGCGCCATTCCGCGCCTTTAGGAAAAGTTTCGCTGAGAAGCCCCGGCTTTTCCCAAGGCACAGCCTACCCGCTCCC